TGTAAAGTACATTATCGAATAACGAATCGTAAAAGAGAGCGCAAAATAAAGTGGTTGTTTTTCTGGAGTGCTTGTAAAATATACACACACACACACACACAAATTATATATACACGTATATATGTATATCTCAAAATATCATTACCTTAATAACTTAATTACAAATTATTTATGTTTAGTAATCAGAAATATTTCATGAAAGATATGTGCATCTGAACAAGAAAATACGAAAAATTTCATAGAATATTCACCTATAATTTTGGTTTTTTCATATTAATCTTTTATACTGTTTGCCGCAGCTCTACGTCTTCTGATTGCACGAAGACGATTATTACAATATATGCGCAAAAATACTGAACCAAAAACTACTAATATACCAATGATACCGATAACTGTCACACTGTGATGATACATCAAGCAGGACAACAGTATAGCCAAACCCTGAAAACAAAGGAAGCAAATAATGTTTAAAGATTTAACGTCGCGTAATACTGTATGTCACGTAATAACAATAATATATGCTAAATGATTACCTGTCGTATAGTCATTATAATGACAAATGTGACTGGTCCAAATTTAGAAATTGTGTAAAAGATATATAACTGACCGCTAGCGGAACAAATTGATATAAGTAAACAATCCACAATGAATCTAGGATACTGTGTAACAATAAAGAAAAGTTTAAGTTTTATCAGGTGTTATCGTTACAATTACATCTATTCTGATGTATTAGATTTAAATCACCTTTGTCATGAATGAACATATGAGAGGAAAACTTGATTGTTGAAACAAGGACATTGCAGTTAACAAACAGGAAAACATATTAACAACACACATCATTTGCACACTTGTTGCACCATACTCCACAAATAATGCACTTTGCCAGGTACTTGTAAAACTATCTAATAATAAATAACCTCCTAAGAGAATAATACCGGACACGGTGGTTGCTCCATCTAAAAGTATTCACATCAAAATAATAAGCGTAAATAAACAAAAAATATTAATAGATTTGTAGTAAAACTGAAAAAATTTTACCACTTTTATAATAAGAACTATCTAACATGAATAATGTCATTCCAACAGAAATGAGTATAGCAGTAACATATTCGTAATACTCATATGTGCTGTGCGAAACTATTTTTCCCATTAACATTACTGGAATTATTTTTGTAGCTTTTGCTAATACCTAAAATACATACTGTTACAAGTACACTCTTAAAACGGCAATTCAAAAACAAAATTTTATAATTTTATAATCACCTGCGTCGGGAAGCTGACATATTTTAAAGCTTCGTATTGACACCAACTACTCATGATATTTGATAAAGAGCAAAATGCATATTTGTAGAGAGGTGCTTTATGCTGTGGTTGCCTCTGAATTATTAAATACAATCCTGACATCAAGAATGCTAGAATTCGATTTATAAATACTAGAAATTGTGAATCCTGAAAGCGGTCCTTGTTACCAGTACCATCTTCATAGTCCTGAAAAACAAATTTTTTTTTCATGTCATAGAAACTTTTAAGTTAAGGAACACAATCAAATCACATTGTATCAAAACTTTTGTAACTGTACTGTGTAGTTAATTCCTCAATTTACACTTTAGGCATCATCTTGAAACATTATTAAATAACTACTTTCAAAGAAATACAATTGTAAATGCTATTTCAAACATTCTGGGTATTATGGTTAGTACCCGTACCATGTTTGGTGTAATGAAGGGGTAAAAAACACCATCTTCAGAACTTTGTTTCATAGAAAGAAGCCTGGATGTCCTAGAAGTAGTGACTAGATGATTCGCATTGTGATTCTGAAATCTAAGTCAACAATGCTTCCCTGTACATGGACATTTTACCACAGCAACATGTGCTTACGAAACAATCAGCAAAATTGGTTGTTTAATTAATTTCTCAAACAATCATTTCAGACTTACATATAGAATATCATTTTTCAAGCTTAGCTCATTGCGAAGCATGTTTTGTGTATTCATAAGTTTATCCATGAAATATATACATACGCATATGTTAAATAAATTATACCTGTGTCATTATCTTCTCTTGCAAGTAACCCCATGTTAAATAACTGATTTGTAATCCAAAGAAACAATATAACAGTAACAGGGCATCTTGTGTGAAAGTACGTTGATTTTGATTTGATGGTGTAGATTGGTAAGAAGAAGAATCCAAAAGTCCTGTTTCACAGTGACCCACAAAACACAGATGTACCAATTTGCGAATACACCCTTTACCTGTTTAAAGATGTTACATAATTTCATATGAAAATTCACCAATAATTTCTGTGCTACTAATTTTTCTATTCACTTACCTCCCCTTTGAACGTATTTGGTGTGACGTATATATTTGTATATGAGGTAACCTGGCAATAACACAGTAGCATAACTCAATAAATTTAAACATAATCTGATAATCCAACTATAGGAAGAATTTCTTAAAAAATTTTCGCCAGTATTCACAAGAGATTTAATAATTTCACTAGCTCCAAATATAAGGCTCACTGAAAGGAGTAGCAATATGCTACAAAAAAAATTATTTTAACAAATGAAGATCATCATTTCGTACTATTATTTATTTGCGCTACATTTCTTCAAAAGGACAGAGAGAAGCAGGGAAAGAAGAACAGAAACAGAAAAGGGAAATACAACGTTAATACGTTGTTATTATTCCCACCGATTACTACACCACATGTTGCGCGTATATATTTAATACACAATATTTCTTAAAGCATTTTTTAAATAATGTAAAAATTTGTCTAAAAATAAGATGTAGGTTTCATTAAAAATCGGTAGTAAAAACCACGACACAACACTTTGATTAACAATTTAAAGACATCTAAAAATATTTTGTCAAATCATTTTTCATAGCTTAAATCTATCGCGTCTTACTAGCAACTAATGATACATTCATGCATGCTTGCAATGAACCAGCAACGTGACACGCTACTGTCGATTATGTTCTTTTATCTTCAATTGACAAATTTTCTCCATTTAAATAGTCCTTTGTCTTTAATTTACAATATTAAAAAATCACAAACTTTCTATATCAACGATAAAACGTTTATTCTTTTTACTTGAAAATAAATAAAATCAATTGAAAATTCCTTGAAAATAACTAAAAATCAAAATTGTAAAATATCCGCATATTTTTTCATATATTGAAATGCATATACAACAAAATAATATATATGTTCATTTAATATTATTTGTCCATTTATATTGTATTTAATTGGATAATTTTAAGCGGTAGAACGTCAATCTATGCTTTGAATATACTATGGTTATACGTAAATTATTATAAAAAATTATTAAGCGACGAATCGATTAAACAAATGTTAATGATTTCTTATAACGTAAATATTGTTTAACAATCAATATTAAACAGTCGTGACTTTTATACCGATAAACAAACATAACAGAGACCAACAAGCTTAAAAACCTAGATACTATATTAGTCACTAGGGGAAGAATACTATCAAATGATTCCTACAGGAAAATTTACGCGGGAATTGTATCAACCTAAATGATAAAATGCTTTAATCACAGACGAGATACAGGATAGACCTAACACCTAATATATTTTTCTGTCCAACACTCCTGTCAAGTTTACAAAGTAGATGTAATACAGTTCTTTGGTAATTTAACAACAATGTCATACATATTTAGCGTACAGTGTGCATCAGACAGCATCTTGAAAATTAATTATAAATTACAAGTATCAATTGAATATAATAAGAACGACAAGGAAAAGAATAGGGGAAGACGAGAATAGCACTAGAGGAATGAGTTAGACAAGGAAAGGAATAGAGGTAGGCAAGGATAGCAATAGTGACGAGTGTTGGACAAGGAAAGCGAATAGGGGTAGACAAGGATAGAAGAGTGACGGTGACGCCATCTTGTTTTTGGTGACGCGAACTACAACTTTTTAATAGGAACACACCATGTAAACAGAGGTATTAGACAAGGAACGCACTACTGTGCAAGAAGGATAGAGAGAAACGTTTCCTATTGGTCCGCGTATATCTAAGCTCCACCTTCTGATGGCGACCAGGTCACCATTAAGTCGGACAGGGAATAATCATTAATAACTTGATAATTACGATGATTCTGTGAACTTTTAGAATTGAAGAATAAAGTGTAGACCTTTAGCAACTTTCTCATATAGATTTTAATGCGCTAAACCCTTTCAATAATTAGTTATTAACAATTTTAGTACGTGTTATCGGGAACGATACCGCATAAATTTTCGGTTTTTCAATAATTCCGTAGTTTTCTAATAAATTCGCATGCAACTAACTGTATGCGTCTGAAAGGTAATTCCCTTAGCTCCATTCTTATATAATTTTTATTAACATATTCGGTTTAGTTTAGGAGTTATTAAATATTATTTGGAAAAGTATTGCACCCGTCGCATTCAATCGCAACAGGTTTTCGTTATTTCAAAGGAAATACGTCATTAATTATGCACTTTGAAGCACGTAGAATGTAGAATGGACTTTTATTTATATTCTGCAATTAGTTTGATAACCGTAAGTGGTGTGGTTTATTAGATATTAGCAATTATTTGTAGTAGTCGACTATAGACGTTTACGATGAATAGGAGACTCTCAGAGTATGAAAATAATAAACTATACCGAGTATGTTAATAAAAATTATATGTGAATGTAGCTAAAGGAATTGCCTTTCAGATGCAGATAATTAGTTGCATGAGAATTTAGGAAAAAGCTATGAAATTATTGAAAAACCGTAAAGGTGTGCGGTATCGTTCCCGACATCATGTAATAAATTGTTAATAACTAATTATCGAATGGGTCTACTACGTTAAGATTTATATGTGAAAGTTTCTGAAGGTCCGTACTTCATTCTTTAATATAAAAAGTTCACAAATTTGTCGTAAATAATGTGTTACTAAATATTATTTGAGTTTGTACTACTCTCGTCGTATTATAGCGTAAAGGATTTCCGTCATTTTCACGAATATTCATGATTAATTTTACACTTTCAAGCATGCAAAATACAGTACAGACCTTTGCCTATATTCTCCAATTATTTTTAAGTGCGTACGTGATGTGCTTTATGAGATATTAGCAATTGTTTGCAAGAGTTGACTATACTCGAATACGATGAATAGAAGACTCTCTCATATAATATTTAATAACTTTTAAGCTACAAGAGTTACATTAATAAAAATTATATGTGAACGTAGCTAAAGGAGTTGCCTTTCAGACGCGTATAGTTAGTTGTATGGAAATTCAGCAAAAACCTATGAAATTATTGAAAAACCATAAAGATACATGACGGTATGCGGTATCGTTCCCGACATCACGTACTAAAATTGTTAATAACTAATTATCGAACGGGTCTAGTGTACTAAAAACTATATGAGAATGTTGCTGAAGGTTCACACTTTATTCTTCAACTCTAAAAGTTCACAGAATCACCGTAATTATTGAATTTTTAATGATTCTTCCCTGGCCGACTTGATGTAGCCCGTGGTTGATGGAGCTTAGTTGTCCGCCAGCCAATAGGAAACGTTTTCTCTCTATCCTTGTCGCACACTAGTGCTTTCCTTGTCTAATACCTCTGTTGATATTCTGTGCTCCTGTTAGAAAATCGTAGTTCGCGTCACCAGACGCGAGATGGCGTTAATATCGCGTTTGAAAATTTTTCTGTCCTTGTCTAACACACGGCGCCATTAATATCCTTGTCTTACTCATTTCTGTATTGCTAAATAAGTATCTCGACGAGTTATCCTCCGTAGTAAGTACGACTAAATAATGTATAGTGGATTACGTGGGTAGAACTGCTGCTCACGATCTTTTAACAGCAGTAGAGCACGCGCATGTGCTCAATCTACTAATAAACAATTACGTTACTTTACTTATTTGTAATCTCATAGTTACGTTTAATTCCAATTCCAACCATTACTAATGTTGTAATCTTATTTTATACTGAATCGGTAACGTTGGAAGTGACACGCAAATGGTAAGAGTTTCTACAATCCTCCTGACGGGGGACAAAAAAGTGCATTAAGTGGTAAGTCTATACTGTATCTCGTCTGTGGTTTACTTAGTTTGAACGTGCAACCGTAACGTTGTAGCGTTTAACGTGGAGAAGTTTTCGCTTTAACACATCTGCTATTGCTGTTCGTTTAAAAAATCGTTTATTGCAAAACGTGCAATATTTTAATAGGTTTAATTTAGCATATGTTAGCACTTACACACACGTAATAATTTACATTAAATACAGAAATTACACATTGCGTATATATAAACGTGTCACCACGAATTAGTAAATGTTTTGTTTACCGGGTAAGTTTTTATTATCACGAGAGCCTTGTTATTTCTTTTTATGAAAATTGTTTGGTAACAAAAGCTTGTTAATTTAAGTAGGAAGAAAATAATCGTAAAAGGAAATTAATTATGGCGTTTTCTTCAGTTAAAAGTTTAATCCCTGTTTTCCAAAAAACGACTGCTTCCCTGTGCAATTTATGCAAGAGGCAATTTACAGTATGCGTAGAAGGAAATATAGGAAGTGGTAAGACGACGTTCTTAAGTCATTTTAAAAAATTTAACAACACAACAGTTTTACAAGAACCAGTTGATCTCTGGCGAGATGTAGGTGGGACAAATTTATTAGTAAGTTTCATTGAATTAAAATTTATCAATGTAGTGTTATATTTTCGCATAAAACAAGATGATATTAATAAATATCTATTAAAAATGTTTAGAAACTAATGTACGAAGATCCTGCACGCCATGCTTTTTTATTTCAATCTTATGTACAATTAACTATGCTTCAACGTCATACTTACAAGCCTCCATTGCCTTATAAAATTATGGAAAGATCAGTACATAGCGGAAGGTGTTTTATAGAAAACATGAAACGTGCAAAACTTTTAAGTAATGTTGAAATAATGGTTCTGAACGATTGGTACGAATGGTGTACACAAAATACTAACTTAGAAATAGATTTAATAGGTAATATATTTTAAATGTGTCAGAATAAACTACTTGAATCTAACTATTATTTTTATGTTAAAACAGTGTACTTAAGAACATCACCAACAGTTGTATATCAAAGAATGAAGGAAAGAGCTAGAAAAGAAGAAAATTCTGTATCATTGGAGTATTTGAAACAAATTCATGATATTCATGATGAATGGCTCTACCACCAAACATTGTTCACTGTACCAGCACCAGTTTTAGTATTGGATGGAAATAAAAACTTGAAAGACATGATAATAGAGTTTGAGAATTGTAAGAATCAGATTTTTAATAGGAAAATCTCAGAAAGAAATACCTAATTACATTATTAAGAACTAAAACAGGTGCTTTAAACTGACAAGTGTAATATTAGTTTAAGTATAATTTCTGCAAGATTTTTTGTAGATTTTGACGTATAATGTTTTGATAATCTAATATTGCACATTTCCAATTTGTACATACAGATGTACATATACATGTACATATATGTAGATTTTTTTTTTTTCATATGTCATGTATGTATGTAACTAACACATAGGTACTTGTAATGTAACCTATTTTTATAATTTCCATCCCATATAATAACTGTACAAAAAGTTTTTATACT